GAAATACCTTCATTACTTGGTGCTGACAGAACTTCACTAAAAGAAGCAAAACCTCATCGCCATGGTCACCTGCATGTTCTTAAGTAGCTGCAATGTTTGTTTGAACAAGGCTCATAGAGAATCCATGTAAAACCAATTTTTTTCCTACAAAACACTAAAGTGGTTTATCAACTGAACAATTATGTCCTGCATATCTTGCAAAATACGCACTCAATGAAAACATCTTGATGATTTCTCAGGTGTAGTGCATATCAAGGGATCAAGGAAATGGCCCACTTTCCATTTTAAGTGGATTTTCATCTGCTTCTACCACTTCTACTTACATAGTTCTCTTTGCTAGTTCTATGTTAGAAAAATTTTCCCCACTTAAGAACATGTAGACAGGGGTTTAACACCCTTTTTCTTTTGAAACTGGAAAAAAAACCCCTTTAAATTGTATTTGCTGAACATCAAGCTCCAATCACTTGGATTAAAGACTTCGTATTGTTTCATATACTGATTCTGATTCTCAAAGACCACTGGCAAATACACTAATGGAAATTTAATCTTCATGGCACCTTCAGGTTTTTCTATGACTATTAAAGTCACTACTGGCAGACTTTGTTGACACTGACTTCCCATACTTCTCCTTACGGAACAGAGTCCCATTTACACTACTCATAACATTAATCCAAAGACACTGGAGACTTGATAGACACTGCCTGAAATGCAAATGCCAACATACTTCAGTGTTAACGTGTTTATCCCATGGATTCATCAAGCTCTGAGTTGATATTTATAAATCTGATAGAATTGCTTATGTGTAACAGTGTTAAACCCAAGGTAATTTCTGCCAGACTGGGGTTTCATCTACACCGCAGACTTGAATTACTTCTGAAAACTCAGTGTCTGCTTTCCAATGGCACCTACAATAGTGCTGTGAAATATCTGATAATTGAAATCTTTCAAAATACTTCTGGAAGACTGATATATTAATAGTTACCAAGATTGAAGAATGCACTTCTATTATTCTCCAAAAAAAGAAGTAATACATGAGAGTTTTATCAGCCTTTCAACAGTAAACAAAATGCACTGGAACATTCAAGCCAATTTCACTGGTTGGGAGAGTAATCAACACCCAGAAAATTAGGACAAAATTTTCTGACTGAACCACAAATTAACTGTACTGCATTACAGAACTGAGCAATTACACTTTAGATCACACTTTACAAAATCTGAGACATTCATTAAAGGATGTGATGGTTTAAGGCAGTTCCAAATCTCCTCCTAGGGCACAGGGATCACGTGGTATGTTTAAGTCATCTGAAGACTGTAAAGCAAAATGTCGTATCTATCTGCCCCCTATTCACACCAGCCAGCAGGCAGAAGCCAGTCCAAAGTACACACAGATATATATTAAAAGACATGGTCATGGCTGCTGCTGTGTCCTCCTACTTCTGAGGGAAAAAAGGAGGCAAAAATTTTCCAAGCAAAGCTTTGGAAACTCCCAGAGTTGAGACTTTTACATCAAACAATGCATTAAGAATATCTGGGAGGGAAAATCCTGCACTGGCAGATAGGAGGACTGGGTGATCTACAATGGTCTGTTCCATTTTTAAATTCTATCATCAGATTTGTCCTCAAGTACAAACCCTCTAGGAGTTTCTTGGGGGCGGTGCATCCTTCCACAACCCCTACTGCGGGCTCTGGCTTAAAAGCCACAATAGAGTCCTTAGAATCTAACAACAAGAGCTATTCTAGGCGCTGGTTAGGAAAATGGGATTTAAAGGAAGTTTCTACTATTGTGCAAAATTAGGGCAAAAAATCTCCTTTCAGATAAGCAACAAAGTATATCAATTCCAACAGTTTGCTCTCCTGCTGTTGTATCCATCATAAAGAAAGACAGTCTTTCTATGGTGAATAAAGGTGATCGTCTAATCAATTAAGATTTCATAGAAAATACGGAACAATTCATCTGTCTGCCCCACCCTCTTCCCAGGTTGAAACAGGACCTTTCCACTTTACTCTGCATGTCACTTTTGTTAAAATGACAGGCACCTCACAGAAAACACCAAACATACATGTAGAGAGAGAAGAATTCCCATTTTGAGATCCACCATAAAAGTGAAGATTTTTGAGCTATGAATTTGATTGCTCTATGTATTGGACAATTGCTTATATAGAATGATATGTATCGGTTTTGTATATGTATTAAAGTCTGACCATGATTACATTTATTTTGATTACACCGATATTATTAAAGGTATTTGTGAAACTGATGTAAAGTGTGCACTGCATAGAAGTACTAATAATACAATTCACTGACCTCACTATCATCCACGACAGTTCACTGATTCAGTTGACCGTGGTCAATATCTCCATCAAGCACCATCTATTGCAGGATATCATGGATTGTGGCAGACTTGGGTTTTTTTACACTTATTGAAAACAGACCTTTCAGCTGAAGTTTGGAAACTGATTCCCTTTAGCCATAGACATGTAATATGTTAGTCATTCATTTATCCTATTTTACTTGAAGATATCTAGAGACTTCCAGCTCCTCCACTGAAGGATGAAGAAACCTCAAATGTTCACATGTATTCACATTCTTAAAGTTAATGTCACTTCATAAGGACATTAAATTCAAGTTGGTATAGCTTTTATGCTGCAGCTTTAGCCCCTAATGACAAGAACAATGCCAGACCATAGCTACATTTTCTCTTTATCTGGCTATAAATTGCAAGTAAGTTCATGATTTGTGATCACTCCATGTGCAGAAAATATAAGTAGAAAAAGAAGCATTAAAAAATTTAATTTAGAAGGTTAGCATTGAACTTGCAATATCTGAAATATATTCTAACAGAATTTCTCTGTTGCTGGTATTTGTTTAAGAGGGTTTGCCTTAATAAACAAAAAAAAAACAATAAAAAGAACAATAAATTCAAAAAAGCATGGATTGATGCCCACATGAAATGCAGAGAAAATGCATAGACAAAAAGAACGAAAAGATATCCCCTAAAAATAAACTATAAAATAAGACATTAAACTAGAGGTAACATTACACCTTACTTACCTAATCTACTAAAAAATCCCAACCAAACAAACAAAAACCCCAAACAAAAATAAAAACAAACCAAACACCAAAACCAAAACAAACCAAAACCAAAACAAAAACCCAAAGGTATTTGCATAATGCACCAATTTTATTTAACTTACCTAGAGTTCACACTGTGATTCATAGAATCTGTTGTTCTCCTCTGAGGTTATGTTGCTGATGCTTTCGAAGTATTGAACTTGCAACACATACTGTTTTACTGAAATATGTCCTTTAAAAAGCCCAAGCAAGGAAAGTAAGTGGTTCTGGATTGTATTTGAAAATATAATTTATTTTACCTGATCATTCCAGCATTTCCAACCACAAAGATAGTGTCATAGTCAGAAGTGTTTCTAGTTGTGAGAACTAACAGTCATAAGATTTTAAGATTAAAGATAACTGATAACCTGACACAGACAGATATATTTTACAAACATCCCTATAGCACTAAAAACTGTAAAAAGAACCAGTATTTGTATTAAGAATTCCCCATCCCCAGTAACAATCCTGGAACATTTATTTAAGGGAAGGAGAAGGAATACGCACAAAGAAGGATTGTCTTCTTGCGAATTTTAAACTAAGCTACTTCAGAAAGAGGTGACATATAGAAATGGAAATTCTCAAACAATTGCTTTATTTCTCTAGACAAGGTTGGGCTAGAGTTGACACAATGTTTTCAGATGTTTCTAACTTATATTATCATGTAGTGTACACAGTCCCCTGAAAGCAGTTACTGCCCAGCCCTGCTCTTTGCAGAAACTCTTTTTTTATAAATATCACTTGGGATTTATCCAAGAGTTGAGCTAAAAAGGATCTAGATGTGTTTTAAACACAGAGAAAGAAAGGCAGAAGTGATGTACCCTGATGCTTATATCTTCCTGACATAAGGCAGACATCCCTACTGCAATTTCAATAAAATGCTATGATCTTAAGATATAGTACTGCCATGCATGTTAATAGGACTCAGTATAGTAAACCTTTCCACCAGAGAGTCTCTGCACTCATATTGCAAGATGTGGCTTAGCAGAATTGATGAACACCCTATGGAGATCAGCTTCTCTCAGACCTCAATTGATTCTTAGAGCTCTCTCATCCTAGGCCAAATGAAAATCCACAGAAACAATCACTACATGCACCTCTTTTTTTTTTTTTCCAGGAAGTATCTGCAAAATATAAAATAGCTTAGTTTCCATAACTGGAAGCATAAATAAGCAAGCCAGGATTGCAGACAGAAGGGGGGTTGTATGCCTGGTGGGGAGAAGGCTCAATAAGCCTTTCAGATGTTAGTCATGAAGCAGTGGCAAAAAAAAGTAAAGAAAGAGGTAGGGGAAACAGTTAATAGGTCAAAGAGTATGAACACCTACTAAGGGCCCTACCATGCTGCAAATTGATATCTTGTTCTCTTTCCCCATCTGGTCTGTTACTAGATCATTAGACAGTAGGATGTGTCCAGCATGTCCCTGGATTTCAACCCACTTTTGAGAATTGTGTAGCAAATTCAGCTGGTCTAGCTACTCACAACAGCACTGGCTGCTGTATCATTCCTCTTTGTAGCATGGGCCATCCCTCCAGTACTTTTGACACTCTTCTTCTTTGATTACTTTTCATCCCATTGAGAAGCTCCAAGTCCAATTTGGATTCTCTGAAATTGATATAATTTAATTTGAAACATTAGCAACTCTGTTAATTATCTCAGTCACTGTAGTCACCACGTGAGAAAAACCAGTGATGCCTGAGGAAGGCACAAAGGCATAACTAACCAGCACTGTAGAGGAGCGTAGAACAGAAAGACCACTTACCAAGTCACAGATGCTTTACTGTGTACTGATTTATATTTTATGTCTTGGTGATCACTACAGGAACACATATATCTCACATGAAAGTCCATTTAGGGACCTTACCATGTTGGAATCAGTAGAGTGTTTTTATTTTATTGATGAATGTGGCATTTGATACCACCATCACTGTTTCTCTGCAAAGGAAATTAATGCATCAAACCTTATTTTGTAGGTGTTGCTATGAAATTCACTACATCTGTGAGGAAAATAAGAGAAAGAAAAGTGTCAGTCCAATATAAAACTTGATTATACAGAAATTAAATCCACAAATTGATGTGTAGAGCAAAATGTCTTGCAACTTACAACATAAAAACCCCCCACCTAATAGGAATCACAGTCCTGTCTGTGATCACTGATTTTTTATTTTGTCAACAGCATTGTCCTTTGATCACCAAGCTACTGCCAGCATCCTCCTATTCCAGCCGATCATGTAAATGAATCCCTTGCATATATCCTTATATCCTCTTGTGGCTGACATTAGGCAGTATTAGTTACAAATACACTGCCAATTTGAAAAGAATGAAGAAATATAGAATAATAATTTTAACTTCCCATATAGTTATTTCAAATGCTTTCTATGATTGTCTTTCCTTTTCTACACATCACAGCCATTCTCTTCAGATTTGTATTACAAATAAAACTCTGTGTAAGTACACATTTGTCCTACTATAAGATAATTCTGAAATTACAAAGCTACAGAAAAAGAATAATGAAGGCTTTAATGTCATGCAACTACAGAACTGAAACTTGTCATTAGTTAAAAACTAATTGCAAATTCCCTATATAAGCAGCATATGCTTCACAAACTTTTCTTCAAGGAAGATGACAGAGACTCTAAGGATAAATAATGTCTCAGATTCTGATAGCTTTAATCATAAGCTTAATGCTTTGACCACTCTTTTTATCAACAGGTACTTTAGAAGCCTGGTCTGAATAGTTCATTGTCTAGACCAGTGCAGCATAAACCTACAAAGCATCACATCTTCAGGGGTAAAAACTCGTGACAAAGATAAATACTGACCAGACTATAGGATTTTGTTTGAGTGTTTTTTTAGGTGTTTCAATCCAAATTCAGCATAACATTTTAAGCCTGCGATTAAGGTTCCACTGAAATGAAAGCATTCACAGCATGTGCCTGAAGTTCAGTGTTTCCATAGGGGTTTTCTGAATGTAGCTAGACTGTTAAAAAAAAACCCAACAAAACAACAAAAGTACAATGCTGTTACACATTTCGTCAATTTGTTTCAAGAATACGGGCCAAGCTGATTAATAAGTTAAGACAATACCATCTGCATTTCTAAACTGAAACTTCATAAACTGTTTTCATTATCTAGATTGAAGTAAAACCAAGCAGAGAAAAAACATAAAGAGAGAAATCACTTTTTAACTTCTCTGTGAAAACATTATTTCTCAATCATGATTCCTGTTAAGAATATTCCACCAAGTCAATTATAATGTAATGACAGAACAGACTAGTGACTTTGGTGATTTAGTGAGTTACCTGCTGAAAAGTCAAGTATGACAGAAGTTGGTGCAATGAGGTCCAAGAAAGTGGTCTTCAGCTTCCTTTACAGAGGCCATCTTTGTCAGTCTCACTAGTGCTTTTTCTTGGACCCTACATGAGAAGCAAAGTCATATTTGCTAATTTACTTTGGGTTAATGGCTTGAATCTGTGGGCAAGAGTAGATAAAGAGGGGATTTAAAGTAATTCCAATTGTTAAAGTAAAAATGAAATTCAGGTAATAAAACCAGAAAGCCTGGTGTTGGCATCTAAGTGTTATTATGCAATATTCCAATTCAGTATTGTGCAAATCAGATATTAATACAGACAATGATTTACATATATAAAGTATATGTATATACACACACTTTCATATGCATACATCAAACTTAGGTATTTGTGTGTATATGTACAAACATATATGTACACAAGGTATAATCTATTTAAGAGAAAGAAGCAGAAAAGCCTACAGTGCCTTTTCTGATTGTTACAGCTAGTAAAGGCATTAGCCAGATGTTGAAACTCACAGGCATCAAACAACAGTGATCATTATAGTCTTCAATCACCCCATTTAGAATTTACAATAAGCTAAGCAGAAAACCATTATTTCCACCTTCAATATAAAGTTTTCCTCTGTCTGAAAACAGAATTCTGCAATGGACTGATGCACCATCTGTTCTAACTTCAGAACCCTTTTCCGTGAAACTTCCAGCAAGGAGAACAAGCTATTGATGAGACCCAGGAATATAAGGACATCATTAGTGAGTATCATAATAAGATTAAAATCCCTTGAGGGCTCTCATCAAAACCTAGATTAAAAAGAAACAAAAAAGGAGAGAAAAGACTGACATTATAGTAACAAACCATAATATAAGGCATAAAATTAACAAACATTATGAATTAATCATACTTAGACAATTACAATCCATATGGCTAGTTAAACTCAATCTGCTACCTGTAGTGACATAGTCTGGATACTGTATATTCAATGCCAGTGCATTTCTCCCAGGATGTAATTACTTAATTTTGTGAATGAGAAAATGATGTGTAAAAGCCAATGTTTCCATGGATTCAATGCCCCAAGTCAGATAAAATGCATGAATGCTTACCAAATCTCACAACACTTTTTAACCCTATTTCATCGCACTTGTATTACCTTCAGGTATGTAGAAACAGTGAATCACCTTCACACTCATTACTACAGCTAATACAAGAAACAAACTGTGTTCAAAGATTAGTTTTCTACAAACAGGACTCTTAGGATTTAGATGTCAATGAATGGCACAAGACTGATTAAATCAGTAATTCTGGAGGGTTTTTTATCACTTAAAGCACACGTGTTTGGATTCTGAGAACAACTACTTTCTCCCTTCCATTGCACCTACATTCAGACAGATTTCAATCTCTCAGAGGACTTGGCACTGAGATTCTGGTTTAGTCCCCTCTTTTGTCATATATAGCATGTCACACGTGGTGACGTTATATAATTCAATGATGTGGGATGCTGCAATCTCAAAAAATAAACAAACAAACAAAAAACACAAAAGAAAAAAAACCAGACCAAGCCAACTCTAATATTTTAGTCCTGTGTAGACTCTGTAAGTAATTTCAAGCTAATACCTGGTCCTTCCTCATACGAAGTTCTGGGGTCCAACCTGTTCTCCTAGAACATCTAGAAGATTCTCCTAAAATGGTTTATATCCATTATAAGCAAATCAGTTGGGCAATACAACAATATGATTCATCACAGACCTGATTTTAAAAAACATGAACAGTGAAATTAATAACATATACACATTACAAAAAGGGACTTGTTACATGAAAGAAGACCAATAGGTACCTCAGAACTATCTCAAGATTTATTTCAACTCGTTATTCAGACCAGCCTGCTAGAATGAGGAAAGATTGAGGATATTCTTGTATCACAGAATCACGTACCTACCAGAGGACTGGTTTTGGAGGGAGGAGAGGATATCAACTTTCACTTACCTCCTAGGAACTTTCCACAATGGTGATAGTACAGATCGATGGCAGATGGCATTCTGGTCATTTGTTGCAACTTTAATGCTGAATAACCACTGGCACTCAAGGAAACGAAATGGTTATGAAAAATATTAAAAATAGGTAGGACTAGTAAACCACACCATGAACAACAACAAAAATGAAACATTTTATGAAATTGTGAGGATTTAGTGGACCTACGACACTGACATGCTCATAGGAAATTATCATCTGCTCTTTCCTGTTTAAGTATCAGAAAGTAATATCAAAACCCAACACAACTCTATAAGCTCCAGGTTTACTTCAGTCCTTTTATTTCAGGAGCACAATCACAACAAAGATATTTAATTACTTTGAGACTCTAGTCATAGAAATCCAAGTTACTTTGCATCTTTAAGTGAAAGTGCAGAAGAAATATGTAATGGCCGTTTGAAATAAACAGACACTTGTTATCCCCAACATTACATACAAAGCATTTCTGGTTTGGGATTCTCTTTTGTTTTCCTCCAGTGGACAGGTACAAAGAAATGAAACATTTTCACTTTCCCAATCTCTAACTGGTAGGCATTATTTAAAAAATATGTACTTCCTTTGGGTCTATAATCTCATTTATCTTCAGTATTTCTGATTTAGGACATCTACTACATCATGTGATTCTAGAGAGGACATTTGGCTTCCTTCACAGACATTATGGAGTGCTCTGAATCTATTTAAGAGTTATGCTGTGCTTTCATGAGCAAACTAATCCCAGAGACAGCACAGGAGGCTTCAGAACACAAAAGAAGCTTTCTCACTGTCTGAGAGCAGAGTCTTGGCCCTGATGACTGTGACCAGTAAATGCTTCCCTTATTCAATAATAAATACTTCATTAAAGAAACCAAAAGGAACTCTAGCCAGTCTAGTGGAATTATTAATGCACATTTTGAATGGTTACAATCATTCAGCTTTCACCCACATGCTTTATAATACCTTGTTAGAAGCGCTATACTCACCATGAAATCCTGTGCTTGTCATGACTTATTGCTTAATTAAAATAATGTAATCAAAAACCTCACAGAACAAATGTTGACTGAAAAAATTATGCTAATCTTATATGTATCTACTATTCACACATTACTTTGAGCAGAATAAGTTGTCTAATGTGTTAATAAAATGAAACATACCCAACTATCTTGTCAAATGCTATTTTTATCTCAGCATTTACATACATTTGTCATGAAGGGGGTACATTCTGAGTAAAAGGAATAAACACTGTTATGATTAAACATGTCTGACATGATGTTCTCATCTGAGCATCAGGAAATGCCACATGCATAGGAAACTTGCATTCATGCAGTCATAAAGCCAATGGCCTCATCAAAATCAAACTTGCAGAGTGCAGGACAGCTTTATTTAGTAAGGAGATGCATCTTACTGCGTTACTTAACATAATCACTTAATGTAATGCAAATACACTATATTTGTTTTGAATTTGGCCCTGAGCACTCAGACTAAAAACATGGCACTATAGCTTGGTAGGACTGAACACTGCATTTCACTGAGACTAGAAGAATCTTTGTGCAGAAGGAAGAAACTGGGAAAAATCTTCTCACTGTCTGCAGTTACGTCAGGAAGTTATCAGTGTCAGGAAGCAAGGGAGACCCAGTCCCCTCACACAACCAGACATGCTTAACTCTCTGCACCAGGAAGGACTTTAAAAGTATTGCACTTACAAAAATTGAGAGCTAAGGAAAAAGAGAAGAACAGAAAGACTATAAGGAGAGGGACTGGGGAAGTGGTGCCATTTGTCCCTTTGGAAAAGGCCAGGTAAACCTATATAATTATGCACCCCAGCTTTCTCAGAAAGGACAGGTCTTTTAGCAGCCTTCTTTCCTCTGCTCTCTGAAGGTACTGGAAAGAGATAATCAAGACCTGAGCTTATACAGGAGTGTACACTAATGACTTGCCTGCTTTCTCTCTTACTGCTGCTGGCATTCGAGTACAATGCCAAGAGTATTTCTCACATTCTTGCTACTGAATATGCTGGGAATCCTCTATAGCCCATTTCTAATGGATACTGCCCTGCCCCCCAAATTCTTCAGTATGCTCGCCTAGCAGCAGCATTACCAGGAAGTTTAATTTTTTTCCTCTAGCACCCATTTAGATACAATACAATGTGAAGAGATAGATTAACTTTCTCACAAGTCTCCTTGAATTTGCAGCTCTTCTGATGTCAATGCTACTTCACACAGTAGTCTGAAATCACCACTGTATAAGCTCTGCAGGGGGGAAAGAAAACATGAACACGGGAGACAGAGCTGTACTGCCACCATCCTCTCACTATATTGTTGATTATGAGAATTTGTGCCTAATCCATAGATCAGTCAAAAGTATCAGTGGCTTAATGACAACAAATTAATTAGTAAGACATCTATGAGCAATAGGGATGTTTTATAGTAACCTTTGAACTTGGACATTTTCAGACTTAAAAATGCAGGAAACAAATGACAGGAAACAAATTGTTAATACTAGCAATAAACAAGACAAGATTAAGAAAACCCCAGTACTGGTTCACAGATCAATAAACATTTTCTTGTCTGAGATTAAAAGACCATAAATGTTTTGGAATTTGATAAGCACAAAAGACTAATTTTATACTAAGGCAATTTTTTTAAAAAAGAAGGCCCATGTGCTTTTCTAGAATGATGATTTGATAAAATGAGAAAGGCCTTAAAACCTGAATTAGCATATACACACAGGAAAATGTGTGGTAAATCTCTCCTGCAATAGTCAGAAGATATCTTCTAATAAACCACTAATGTTTTAGTATCTTATCCCATCCTTTACCTATATATTTCAGATATTCAAGGGGGAAGAAATTTTCCAGATTATTTTTAAGTTAAAGAAAAGTTTTGTCTCTGCCACACACTATCATATAGCTCAAATTCTTAATACTCTTAGCTCCCTCAAAGTCTTCTGTAATCTGTTTTGCAACGGAATATGCCATTATACCTTATAGTTTTAATTGTTTCAGATCTTTCTACCAGTCTGTTCTCATATCAGTTTCTTGACCTTCAGCTCTAGTCTTTGTCTATTTCTTATAAGTGGTAGCTACTTCAAGACCTAGTGCTATAATCCAGGGATAAAAAAGGCGGGGGTGGGATGGGGGGTGGCAGGAGGAAAGAAAAGGGTTTTTTATATCCACCACAAAACAGCTTTGATATTTTCTGGAAGATCTCTTTTTTTTTTTTTTTCCCAGATTTGCTATTATGAAAATCTGCCATTTCCAATTCAATAATCTCACTTAAAAAAATCAGAAAGAGGTTACTGTGCCACAGGATAACACAAAAATAAGCCTGAAAAATCACTTTATTTCTAATTTAACTTTATTCTTTGGCCAAACCCCATCCTGCAGTGTCTTAAAGTACCACAACAGAAAGCAAATCTAAAGAGATGCAACTGAGTTCATAAAAACATTCCTACACTCCAGTTTGGCACAAAGCTGTACAGATACTTCAAACTAGCAACAGTAAAAGAGAAAAAGGGACAGCCGCAGTGATGAGGGCCCAGAAAACCAAGATAGACTTTTCTGTGGAGTGTTCTAAACAAAATTAATTTGATTCACAAAGATTTCAAGAAGTATTACAGGTATCTTTGCTGCTATATATGTTAGAAGGACAACCCTGTCAGCAGA